AAAAAAAAATACCCCCTAGGGGGGAGGGGGATTGATTAAGGTCGGATCCCCAACCTGTTTTATTAAGAACAAGAAAAATCAGCCCTATAACTATATCTTTTGCTTCATGTCGATCTCTCTAAAAAAATGAATATCGATTCACTAGTTGGAGCTCGATGTCAATCTCTCTACAACGTATGAACGACCTCTTACAAAGAAACTGATAAAGTTACCGCCCAACCGGTGCCATCATGAAAAGTCGAAATCCATGTCCCTGTTAGTGTTATATAATAAAAGCTTGACTTTGGATGGTATTACATTTTTGCCCTTTATGAATGACAATCATGTTAGATTAAACAAGTTCTATGTTCTATTGTTTTGCACTTAGATAGAATGGATCGTCATCGGGCGAACCGAATATCATTCTATCAGTTACTTGCGGAACAAGAAATTGTGGTTCACGACCTATGGAAATTTTCACCCCATCTGAATGGTTGTAGTATCAAACTGTACAGTTTGTCTTGACTGATTAGTTGCACTAGGACATTTTATGTATTGAACATGATCCTAGAGAGGAGAAGTTCGTTTTATACTGATCGTCGTAAACGAACTAGGCCTTGGTAAATTACTGCGTTCTCTTAACCTGTAAGATATTAAATATACATATATAAGCAGTATATAGTATTTTGATTCACTTTCCTCGAAGTGAGTTCATGAACGTTTATTATTCTAAACCCTGCAGGTGAATTAAATTTCAGCATAGTAATAATATGATGAACGTGCAGTAGCTTCGGTGGAATAATAATATATTAATTGATTCTTGATTATTAGTAATCAAATTAATTAATGAACATTATATCTTAAACATGGGGAGGTAATTCCGATAATTATTTTTGGAGTCTCAATGTTAATTGGGCTAGGGAAAGTGAGTGCAATAATATTATGTTAGTGACCCATAATATTATTTAATTTATTAAAGGAGTGGGCTAGGCCCACAGTTAGTCTAATTAATTAAGGAGCTCTATTCCTAATCTCCTAAGGGTCCATACTGTAGCTCTATATATACACCATTAGGTTCCTGGAAAAGAGAAGAAGATATCATAATTCCCCTACGTGTTATATACGAACACGCGCCCCATATTCGCTCTCTCTCTCTCTCTAAGTTTCTGTTCGAGCTTTATCTTCTTATATTGTTGCTCCACCGAAACAAGTTGAAGAGGTGTTTTGAGATATACAGTAGAAGATCCGGAGGTAATTGAGATACATATATTCATCAACCCCAAAGATCAACCGAGCGGACGAGTCACGATCCGACAAGCCGCTAGCCGCCGACCTAGCCCCGCCGGAGCACCGCCGCGAGCCGCCTCAACCCAGCCGGAGCATCCAGCTGCCGTGGCGCGCCACCCATAAGAAGCCGGCGATCCGACTGGTGCAGCCACGCGACCCAGCGAGCCCGACACGACGTTCTACACGATCAATCGCGAGCCCGTGACATTCCGTTCATGATACCGACTTGTTCGTGTGCTCATCCCGGTCAAACCGAATTTGCAAGATTCTGAAAATTTTAAGCCGTAAATTTTCTACGTCAAACCTTTAGATCCGTTGCGCATAGGTTTACGTTTGCTATTGAGTTCGTAACTTGTACATAACGAACAGTCCCATCCTAAAAAATCTTGTTTTTGCATGGCAATACGTGTCAACTACCTAACTCCTAAGGTGGAACATCATCAATATATTTTTACGTTGGGTCGAGTACTTCATACAAACGGGGACAATACATCACACTCAAAAAACCAAACTCATATTATATATTTCCTCTTGTTGATCCACCGAGCGAGAAACGTATCGTGCATATTTCTTTATTTATTGTCCCTTTAGTTTAATCTCTTGTCTACCATATCAATTTACTCCTATAAATAACCATTAATTTCTCCGTTTAGTATTAAAAAATAGTTGGCGATCAATCGTCAATAGTACTATTTTGAATAAAATACATAGTAATTTAATAACAATTAACTATCATGGCTAGCGTAAATATGGCCAAGGTAAATAGGTAAAATCACATATTTGTAAATTGAATATGACCGGACTGACTGGTTATATTGCGAACTCGTCCGTTCCTTTTGAAAAAAACCCGTCAAATGTTAAAAATTAGCAATTTTTGTTTTTATTCCACTACAAGAAAATGATGAAATTTCAACGACAATTTCAATGGATATATCAATGTTATTATTCTGTTGATTTTTTTTAATGGATTCCAACGAAAATTTTAACAAAAATATTCCATTGGAATGGATTTTCTATTGGAATTTCCGTTGAATTTTGACGATTCCAATGATGGATTTTCCAACGGGGGTGGAAATAAAAATTTCAACGGAAATTGCATATTCCGACGGTAATTCCTACGGTAAAAAGCCATTAGAATCATCAAATTCTATCTAAAATTCCAATGAAAAACACATTTCAACGAAATATTTCCGTTGAAATTTTCATTGGACCATTCCAACGGAAGCTATAGCATTGGAAAATCCGTTTGAATTTTTATTGGAATATATCACTATAGAATTTTCAGTTAGAATATAACAATTTTTGTGTAGTGATAAATGATTGTAATTGGGAGTTAGTGTTAGGGCAGGAAATCAAAATTTGTCCTACAATTTGGCCACAATCCCAAACCACACCCCTTCATTGACCACTTTCAATCTGGGTCCTATAATTTGTCGATTTCATCAGATTTGGTCCTTTTTATCCGCATCCCAGATAAAACAGTGACGTGGCGTGACTATAGTATATGTGACAGGATTATGAAATATTTACTTAAAATTAAAAAATCCACATCCGCTTATGTTGTCTTTATTCATCTATCAGCTTATGTTGTCTTCATACATCACCCGTCGCCGGCCGCCGGCCGCCGGCTGCCGGCCGACCACATCCGATTGATTTTTTTTTAATATCATCATGAAACTCTTCTCGTCATTGCTCACCTCCTAAAATTATCGGCTTTGCTCTGGTCAAAGTGTTTAGATCCGGTCAAAATTTCGTTTTCTTCATTAATTTTTCGACGATTTACCGCGACCCACCGAAATCTGAGGGCACATCTGGATTCCTCAGACCATCGTGAACCCAACGATATCCACCATCTCCAAGTCCGACGAATTTTATGGCAACCCATTTTTCCGGCAGGTATCAAGGAGCGGGGAGCTCTTGAAATTGGCGGCCTTGACCGCGGCGGTGGAGGCTTTGTTGCTGGACGCTAAACGAGCGGCTGGTAGACGGACTCTCGCACAAGAGATGTGCAGTCGTAAGCTGTTGGGCTATGGACTATATAATGGAATTCTGACGGCGGGCAAAAGGTGGTGTTGGACGCCGTGAGCTGTTGGGCAATGGTCTGTATGTTGGAAGTCCCGCGGCGGGCGGAAGGTAGTGTTGGACGCCGGAATGGGGGTGTTGACGTTGGGGTGGGGGAAACGAATTCTGCGATCCCTTTTTTTTATTTCTTTTTCTTTTTTTGGTTTTAATATTTTGTATTTGATTTTAATATCTTGTCTTTTTGGGTTTTAATTTTTATAAAAAAAACTCAATATTCCTACATGGCCTAATTAATTTAATTAAAGTACAAATGTACCCGCCACGCCACGCTATATGTCAGACAAAATATTGCCATGTCACGTCATGTCACTTTTTTATTCGGAGTGCGGATAAAAAAGGACCAAATTTTATGAAATCGACAAATTATAGGACCCAAATTAAAAGTGGTCAATGAAGAGGTGGATTTTTGGACTATGACCAAATTATATGACCACTTTTGTAATTTTGCCTTAGTGTTAGTATTCTAGCTTTGTCGTTTTTAGTCTTGTGCGTGAGTCGAGTTTAGGGGATTGTAGACTACAATTGTCTTCGATGTTTATGTCTCTCTATGATTTCGGCTGTATAACTTATTCATGATTACAATTATGTGTTTGTTGTTTATAAAACCCTTAATCGTTTCGAACAAAAAAAAAATAACATGGTCTACCTTTCGACTAAAAAAAATACAAAAAAAAAAAGAAATGGATTACTTTTGTATTTTTATTTTTCCACCTCGCGTCCACATAGTTCACAATATTATTGCATTGGAGAAATATTTTCTTACACAAATCCTTTTGTTTTTGTAGACATTTAATAATACATACACCTTTAGGAACTCACGATATGTAGATAACTCCAAATAAATATTATTTACTTTTTTTTATCAATTAAACTTTCTTTATTTATTATAATGTTTGTCCATTATTGAAGTAATAAATAAATTTTAATTGCCGCCTACTATGAGACGTAACATGCTATATTACGATTTACGGCACGTATAAGAAGTAATCTACATGAATTTCCTTAGAAAAAGGTTTTATAGACTTATAGTCATGCATCAATTTCATTTCTCGCTTATACAAAAGCAACAAACACAAACTTATTAAAGTCATACATATAACATCAATAAGATGAGCACAATTATAGTAAACCCATAATAAACCTTGATTCTCGCATAAAAATCTTTTACTTTTCAATTTTTCTTAAATGCATAAGATACGTAAATTCATGCATTTACGGTGTTTGAGATTAGATAGAACGATGATTCATGGATGGGACTTCCATGGCTGGCACCAAAGCTGGTTATTATCGTTGGTTTGAAGTAGACACGGCCCTTCTGCTCGTATCATCCACACGCACACGTCTCCACACCGACCGTGCACCTTTCTCGTGTACACACCATAATTTCCCGAGCCATGCTTCGTGTTGAAGTCGCACCAAAACTTCGTGGTCCCCCACAAGTTCACTTTGAATTTCCAACGGATGGCCGAGCCATATGAGAGGTTGTGGGTCCCGATATTGTCTTCCGAGGAGTAGCAGTGTATGGAGATGCTGCTATCACCTTCATTAATGTCGTTTCGAACTATTACTGTTATGTCGTTTAGTTGTAGGTTTGGACGATAACCGCGGCGGGCTTGTGACGTGGTGGTGATTATTAGGATGTTGATGGTGAGGAGGAGAAGGATGAACAAATGTTGATGTTGTTTTGGAGTCATTTTCATTGCTGAAAAGTGCATTTTTTGTGTTGGACTCATGCCTTTCCTTCCTGTTATATCAACAAATTGCCAACAACAAAATATAGTTAGATAATACCACCAAGAATATTAAAATAAATACCCACAAATTACCTAAAAATATCATTCCATATCTCTACAAATTACCTAAATCTGATTTGCCTTCAAGAGTGTGACTACAAATTCAGTAGAATAAATCATGTGCCTACACACTAACTACAAATGAGGTCATGATTTCTCTTAAAGGCTGTTGGGCATTATTTAGGTAATTAATAATTATTATTTTTTATTTGTATATATTTCAGTTTAAAAGTATAACTAATATGTAACTCGTGTGATGCACGGGCTGTATTTACTTTGGAGAATATTAAAAATTAAAATGTATTAATAAATAAAAGAGTGATAATTCGTAGGAAATTATCAAATCATAAAATGTTCCTCATGTAAAAAAATATATTATTTAAACTTTCTTGTACACAACATTATTTGTTCAATAACTGAGTAACTCGTTGTCCCTACAAACTAATATTTTCAACACTTTTTACTATTTACACGCGAAACAAACAAAATAATTGTCCGTGACTAAAAATCAATTTCTTTAAGAACATGTCAATGTACAATAAATGTTGACTTTGACTCTTCTTGACCTATTACTTACACGCGTAACAACATACAATTGGTCGTCATAAAAAA